GTGGTCTGGTGGTGGTCTGGGGGTGGTCTGGGGCCCCTGGTGGTCTGGTGGTGGTCTGGGGCCCCTGGTGGTCTGGGGGTGGTCTGGGGCCCCTGGTTAAGCTAACATGTGCATGAAGCACAGACTGTTTGCATCATGATGTTTGACCCTGTTCACTTTCCGTACCCCCCCGAGGACGGAGTCTCAAACAGTCACGACCAGTTTCATGTAAAACTCAAACTTTTTTTTATTCATTCAGATTCTTTGATTCATTTTGTTTATTTTTATTTGTAAATGTTTTTTATTTTCTAAATCAACAATGACTTTTTTTCAGATCCTTCTGTTTCAAAAACAGCAACAGATCTGAGATCTGATTCTGATTCACTGTAAACCAGGTCCTGATCCGGGACCAGGTCCAGGATCAGGATTAGAACCGGGACCAGGTCCAGGATCAGGATTAGGTTTTCGTCAGTCTTTTCTCACCGGAGATAAAAAGTGAACTCACCATGTCTGCTCCTCCTGCTCTTCACTTCCTGTTTCAGGTAAAAGTTGAGACGTCTTGAGTTGGTCTCAGGTGAATCCAGGTGGACTCAGACTGAACCCGGACCAGAAGAGTCCGGATGAGATGGTTCAGTTCAGTGGACCCAGACTGGTTCTGTAGCTCCGAACATGTCCCAGTGTTTCTGCGTCTGTTTTTCTTCAGTCTCTAAACTCTGCAGGTGTGGACAGGTAGAGTCCCGCCTCCGCCCCCTCCCTGTGGAACTTTGGGTAATGAAGTCCGGATGGGGAACAGCTGGAGCTCTGCTGCCCCCTGGTGTCAGAACACAGGCTTTGTCTCATGTAACTCCACTGATATTTGTTGTTTTAGACAAGAGACAATGGGACAAGATGGAGGAATGTCCCTTCTTGACGATTTGTTTAGTTTAAAAGACACATTATTATTATATTATAATAATACTTATATTAATATTATTTTTTAAAGTTTACACACTGCTGGGCCCCTGGTGGCCCCCAGGTCTCTGGGAGTTGAGGTCCTATGAATGTTTACGCTGCAGAAAGTATCGAAACAGTTGAATTTTAAAGCGTCTGCAGGTCCTGGTCCAGAGGCCTGAACTGAGAAGCAGGTGTGGTGTCTGAAATGCTATGTGTAGTCCTCCCCATAAAAGAAATGTATCTTTAGGTTTGAGGTCCACAGGTTTTGAGGAATTTGGAGAAAGCCTGAACGTATGGTAGGGCATTAGGTTACAGTTCTAAGTGCTACACTAAATTTGAGCTAGTGCCTTCTCTTTTTCTGTCACCGAACAAATGAGAAGAGCTGGATGAAAACCAGATGTGTTTTCTTTAGGTTTATGCAAACAACACTCCGATATAAACGAGGAGTTGAAGTTGCCCCCTTAGAAGAGATTCACATTGACTTCGGATCTCTCCATAGGCAGATTGCATTGCTTGTATTGATGCTGAACTTTTTGTAATAAACATTTTATACAATTAAGACGGTGTCATCGGAGGTTCCTTCATCATCTTCACATCATCTCCACCCCAATATACGACACAGGATTTGTGGTTAACTTCAGGTTTAATTCAGAGTTTTCAGTCCCATGAAGCTCGTTCCCTTGTTACCGGGTAAATCACCATGGTAACATGTTTACCAGCTGACCGGCTCCAGGTTAAGTTGGAGATAAGACATCAAACTGTATAAAGCTCCGCCCACTGACCAGTCCCTTCCTTTGAACCATGACATCATGTAGTTATCGTGGAGCTGCTGTGGATCGTTCCAGTCTCTGAGGAGGACCAGGGTCTTCAGAGACCCACAAGATCCTCTGAGATCCTCTGAGGAGTTTCTGAAAGATCTAGATTCTCCTCAGAGGATGAACCTTTGTCAGCTGCTGGAGCTTCAACAGAACCCACCTGACTCGTAGGAGCAAAGTACTCACAGTACCACAGACTGCATGTACTTGTGTTACCTGTTCACTGTGGCTGTTGCAGAGGAGCTCAGTCAGTCATTATTTTACACCTTTATCACAACGTCTTTCACTAGTTCTATTGTTTTCTACGAGTATCTGGTAGTGATGTCATGAGAACCGATACTTCGGTACCAAGCCGATGCCGAAATTCTAAAAATGTCACAGTACTCTTTGCAGTACCTTTTGTAGTACCGTAGGTACTGAACAATACTGGCCCGTCGCTGTTGCTGCTGCTGCTTCAGGATCGTGTCCAGTGTCCTTGTCTCAGGCTGTGTTGTGTCCTCACCCCCCCACTCACCTTCGCTCACTTTACACATTAACAATTAACACTGATCAGAAGTTATGAGAACCTGAACTGGACGTTTACTTTGTGTTTGTTTGATTCTCTCCAGAGTTTGAAAAAATCAGACACAGACACACAACTCGGCACACAACTCGGCACACACGTGACACACACGTGACACACAGTCAGGACATCAGGTAACCCTAACCCTTGAGGAAACTCTGACGATAGCATTTTATATGCATGTTTAAATGGTCTGCGACTACTACTGTACTACTACTACTACTGTACTACTGTACTACTACTGTAGTAACTGCTGCTTGCAGCCTTGCACTGAAGTTTGTGTGTTAGTACAGTGCGTGTGCAGTTATAACTGAAATCTCTTCATTTTCCTTCATGTTCTGTTTCATAATGTTAACAGTCTTGTCTATTTTTTACTTGAAGGCCACTGTTGTTTTTTGAATGTTCAAATATTTTTAATAAAAACCTGTGTGTTGAAGCACATGGGATTTATTGTTATGTTTTTACTGTGGTATCGAGAATCATGGAAATGTTAAAAGCATATAACATGATACTCGGGATGTCAAGATACCAAAGATGTAGTAGACGATACAGATGACAACTATCAGTATAGAGCAGAAATATATTGAAAGTGTTTTGATATATAATAGATAATAATAGTGTGACAATCAGTCTACTTCCTTCTTTACAGTATGTTTGTGTGTTTTATTTCTGCAGCTGAGTCTGAAGCCACCAGGGTTTCACCTGAAAGACTAGAAGTGTCCCACAGTGAGAATTCATGCAAATGATGTGATGGAGACACCGATGAGATTATTTCTAGTTAACATCAGTTTTACCATAAAAACAATCCAGATGTTTCATCAGCTGTTCTCACTCTGGTTGGTGGAGGCATAGAAAATCTTTGTACATGTTTTGGCAGCTTGTTGTTTTGTTGTTGTTTTGAAGCTCGTCTTCACTCTGGGTTAGATGAGTAGAATTTGAAAAACCTTTATTGACAGGATTGACATTGTGAGTGTGAAACATAAAAAGAGGTTTCTGACTAAACAGTGATTTTACTGGAAAATTCACTTCATTTAATAAAATACTCAAAACATCAGTGGATGAATCAGCTGATCGACACACGTCCACACAGTTTGTTTAATGAGTTTGACATCATCTGCAGTTAAAGGGCTAACACATGAAAAACAGCAGCGTGGTCCATTCCACAGTCTGTGGTTGTTTGTGCTCTGCTCAACAGCACTGAGGCAGCTTCCTGTTCTCAATCTGTAAAACCATGATCACGTTCACATCTAAAACTGGGCTGCTCTCTGATTGGCTAAGAGTCCGACTGAGTAACCAATGAGGAACTCTGCGAAGAAGAGGAGGAGGAGCTGAAAACAAAGTAGAAACAGAAAAAAAGAAAAACAAAAAGTGGAATAAAACCGGCTCAGTCTCTGCAGTCGAGTCATAAAAGCTTCAGTCTCACACACGGTGCGGTGGTGCAGGTCACATGATGCCGTTGGTGAGGTACTGGAAGCCGTCGTACAGTTTGGTGGTGAGTGACCTCATGGACCCGTCGACCAGCTGATCAATCAGCAGCTGCAGCTGCTCCTCCGTCAGACTCATGTGGAAACGTTCCTTCAGACCTCGCATGGTGCTGGAACCGTGGAAACACGGCAGCTGAGTCCCTGAGGGTGAGAAACCAGCCAGTGTCAGGAGTGTGTGTGTGTGTGTGTGTGTGTGTGTGTGTGTGTGTGTGTGTGTGTCTGAGTGAGTGTGTGTGTGTGTGTGTGTGTGTGTGTGTGTACCTTGCTGCATGATCTCCACAATCTGCAGAACTCTGTCCATGTGTTTTCTGGCTCCGATCAAACCCTGAAGCATCAACATCTTGTAGTAGTTGAACATGTCTCCTTCTGGACCCCCCATCACCTGAAAACCACAAACAGTGTTTCACTAAAAAAAGACCACACCCTCCTCACAGACCACACCCTCCTGCCCAAAGTCCACTTCAACTGGAGAACGTCAGTGACCTCCTGATGGATCCCCAAAACGCCCTTTAGTGTACAGGAGAACACGTTCTACACAAGCAGAACCTCATCACTCAGCCCTGGAACCTAATCGTGACCACGAGAAACTCACATCCACGAACTCAGCTGTGAGTTTGAAGGCGGACGTTTCGAAGCCAAGGTTTTTGGGTGAGCTGGAGAGGATGAAGCCGAAGTCAATGTGGATGATGTGACCTTCAGCATCCAAGAGGATGTTTCCGTTGTGCCTGATAGGACAGAGGAGAACACAGGAGGGTGAGAAGTCATTAGAACTTATCTACAGCATTTAATCCCTCAGGAACATTAACCTCTGGGAACCAGCTGGGGTGCACGGGTGATGTCATGACCTCACCTGTCTTTGACCTGCAGCAGGTAACAGATGAGGCTGTACCCAGCACAGCTCTGTACAAAGTTCCTCTGAGCGGACAGGAAGGCCTCGGTGGTCGGAGCTCCATGTTCCTGCAGGAAGTAGTCGAGCAGAGACAGCTGGCTCTGCTTCTTCACCTGGTGGAGCGACACAGCGTTCATCACAGGCTCGATCATCCCGCTGTCTGAGGACAACACCAGGATCTTGTAGGGCTTTATCCAGAGGGGAACACGCTCCTGTTCCCAGATCGACTACAGGTGAGGACAGAACAGGTGAGTTTCTCATTGATCAGTGCGTGTTGGTCTTGTGATCTGTCATGTGTGTGATGTCACAGCGTTACCTTGAGCTGCTGCAGCACCTGAAAGGCGAGCAGCTCCTGCCTCAGGTCGTCTCCACATTTGACAATAACAGACAGAAGCCTCCAGTTTGGGAGGTGTCCATACGGAGATCCTTCTCTGATCCTCCTACAGGACACACATACACACTGCAGTCAGTAGAGACGACACCCGGACAGGAAGTGGACGAACTGAGGTAACCTCCGACGTCAGCTGACGTCAACATGCTGACAGAAGTTCCCGTGTCAGTTTGGCGTTAAAGCTCTGAACGGAGACAGACATCACAGCGGCCCCATACACACCTGGTATCAACATGTGGTTTTTGTGATCCGATCACAAGTGGACAGCTCTGAGTTCAGGTCTGATATCCGATCAGATATAATTCTGTATATAGGAGCAGGTAAGTGAGATCGGATCACAAATAGTCACAGGAGACACATTCAAGACACATTTTAATTCCAGGCACGTACTTAACACTGGGGACTTGTGATCGGATCTCTGAGGACGGATGTTAATACCAGGTGTGAACGGGGCCAGTGAGGTATCAACTGAACGTGAAGATGAGGCAAAGAGCTGAATTGCTGGTTAGGAATTGATTGAAAAACTAAAATCTACTCGTGGAAGAGTCCGGAGTTCATCATGTTGACACACAGTCTGCAGGGGCGTGTCCCTGAATGCAGTGCCACCTACCGGACCTTCTCTTCCCACGGCTCCTTCAGGGCCACAGCCGACGGGTCTTCCGGGTCCCGTTTAAAGGTGGTGGGGGCCTGAGCCAGCTGCTCCGAGAGACGGCGCCTGAACAGAAAACACACACATACGTAAACTGTATCCACAGATTAACTCTGAATTTGTCAGGCTTCTTTCAGACATTTGCTGAACTGAGATCCTCCAGAGAGGCTGTGTGTGAAAATGCAAATGCCCGAGTAAGAGCTCTTTCTTTGCTTACGCCATATTTGGCTTTTGTGTGCATGTGGACTTTTAGTATGAATGCTACGTTTAATAAATGAGGTGTTTGGAGTGGTTACTGACCTGATGTCTCCAGCGGCGATGAACACAGGCTCTTTACTCTCCAGACTGGTGATACTGTCGACAGAGAACTGACTGATGTTGTCACAGCTGCTGGTGTGAACCTCTGGAAGCTGCAACAGATCAAGAAACAGCACATCACTGATCAACAGGTCCTGACTCCGCCTACAACTGCTGCAGGTGTTCTAACTGCTGACATCACATCCTGTCCGAGAACACTTGGGTGCCATCTCACCTCCACCTGCAGCTCCCCGATGTCATCGACAGACCAGGCCTCGTCGTCATTGTCGTAATTTGGGACCACGGAGAAGCTGCCGGCTCTCTGCTCCGCCGACATGCCGCAGTCCGGCAGATTCTCCACGGAACGTGTGCTCCTGATCCGGTTCTCCGGGATCCGGATCGGAACACTGGACGTCTCAAAGTTCTCACACTCCAGAACCTCCACATAGATCAGGTACGGTGCCTGAAACAGATCATGTGACTGATCAACAAGGTCACAGTAACGTCTTGTGGACACACTCCATGTGTGGTTTCTCTTTCTTTGTGTGGACATGTAGCTTCATTGAGGTTAGAAACAGGTTAATATCAAATTATATCAGAGAGTGTCTTCAGAAAGACAAACGTGTGTGTGTGTGTGAGTCTCTAACCTTGTCTTTGGAGTTCAGAACCACGGCCTGTGTGTGCGGCACTCGGACCACGTGGTGATCAAAGGCGGCAGTGGGCAGCCACACTCGAGCTGGCAGCTTGTGGTTGAGCAGGGACAGCTCGGAGATCAGTCGCTGAGTCTTTTGCTCTTTGGTCGGCAGCGTCGCCAAACGTTTCCCAATCCCCATGAGAGACTTAATGAACTCCCTCTGAGGAGCCAGACGCACCGGCTGCAGACAGACAGGAGGAGGACAGACGGACAGGTAGAGGATAGACAGACAGGTGGAGGTTTGAGTCTCTCTTCAGGTTTCACGTCTGTCTCAGATGAAAAAATAAAAGTGGAGCTGCAGCAGTGAATCAACAAATTCATTGCTAAAATAATCATCAATTAATTGAGCAACAGAAAAATATTAAAATGTTTGGATCAAGTTTTTTTCAGTCACGTGACTGTTTGTAGATTGAGCTGGTGGACGGCTCGTGGCTCAATAATAATCCATCTCAATAATGATTGTAGATGGATGTGATTGATTGTTTTGAGTCACAGCAGCAGCTTTTTGGACATGAGACACAACGTGTAGACAGACGATGATGTTCACATGTTTCATCAGAGACCAGTCGCTGTCCGACAGAGCAGAGGACGAATCCATCCCACACCAGGTGATTGGATCCAACAGAAAAACTCAGAATCACTGAACAAGAACCAGAACCCAAACACTTCATTTCCCACAATGCACCCTGGAGGGAGGTCGGAACACGAAGCAGGTGAACTTACGGGACCAGCCTCAAACTCCAGACTGTCTGAGCTGCAGCTGCTGTCCTGGAGGTCAGAGGTCAAAAGGACGTGAAGAAATAAGATCAATAACTTTGAATTGATTTGTTAATAACAAAAATAATGAACAGAATAAATAGTCATGTGAATCTTTCCTCAGACTGATCGTTGCTGCAGCTCCTCCTTTCAGCCTCTGTCTCAAACTGTTTAGCTCCTGTCTCTTTAAGACCCCCCTCCTGATAAAGCCCAATCTGCTCTGATTGGTCAGCTGGTCCACTCTGTTGTGATTGTTCAACCAGTTTTAGTAAGTGTAGGAGAGGTTAACTTAACCTGGTTGTGTTTTGTTTGTTTAACCCTATCAGCTGGTCTACACAACTGTTCCTGGTCTCATGATGTCACGTGACATCACAGCAATGTGGAAGTGATATCACGCGCTGGGGAAGTGATATTACAACGATGTCCTGATGAAGAAGTGACAACACAGCGATGAGGAAGTGACATTACAATGATGCACGATGATGAGTGTGTTACATCACGCGATGAGGAAGTGACATCGTGGTGATGAGGAAGTGACATTACA